GCAGGCAAGAGCTGGGATGCGGTCGCGGGGCAGTGGGTCGAGCCGCCGGACTGTGAGGCGCCGGCGTCGAAGCGGCCCAAGGGCGAGACGGGCTCGCGCCACTGGGACCCCTCCGCCGGCGCCTTTGCGGACTGCGGCGCGACGACCAAATTCCCCAGCCGGCTGTCGGACGTCGTCGGCCGCGACGTCGTCAAGCTCTTCCGCAACGTCGTCACCGAGGACCTCGAGTGGTTCGGCGGCCACATCGCCAAGGCCATCGAGGGCGCGCCCCCGCGCCCGCGTCGGGGGGGGGATGGGGGGGCGCTCGGGGCCTCCTCGGAGCCGCGCCCGGCCGCCGGCGGACACCGCGCCGCGCGCGCGCAGACGACGGCCTCGCGACGTGGCGCCTCCCCGCGCCGAAGAAGTCGTCGCAGCTCTGGGTCGAGGTCAAGTGGCACGGCGACACGAAGCGCCGGATCACGCGCGCGCGCGGCGTCCGAAGCCGGGGCCCCCGGCGGCGGACCTCGCGCCCCGCCGCAGGCACCAGCTCCTCGACCCGACGACGTTCCCCTTCTGCATGGAGAACCCGCCCGTGCTCCCGGACCTCACGGTCGTCGGCCGCTGGGCCATCCTCCTCGACCCGACGACCTTCGGCTACACGTCCAAGGCAGGGCAGCAAAAGGGTGCGAAATTCCCAACTTCAAAGGCTCCTATCTCGGCCGTTTTCCACTCGTTTCGGCTGATTTTTGGACGAGCGATCATCTCTCGGAACAGTCTCGAAGCGTGGATGCTTTTTACGGAACGCGAGCGCGCGGAACACTCACGTTGAAGCGACGTTGAATCACCCTTTTGCTGCCCAGGTCCAAGGGCACGGAGAAGTCGCACCGGCCGGGGCTCTGGAAGCTCGTCGACGTCGCCGACGCCGCGGCGCCGGCGGCCGCGCCCGCGCCGCCCGCGCCGCCCGCGCCGCCCGCGCCCTGACGGACGTGGCGAAAGAGAGAGCCAGACCGATGCGTCGGGGGTCATGGCGGCGTAAGGAACGCGGCGGCGACGACGAAGCACGACTCGCCTGCGCGCAAGCGCAGCATCTCGGGCTCGGGTGGGGACGCGGGAGATTGTTAGGCTATACTTGCGCGTCGAGGTGCGCGAGGGTCGCTATAGCATCCTCGTGGCCCTTGGCAGCGGCACGCTCGAACCAGTATCTGGCTTTGCCGGGGTCGACTTCCGTGCCTTCTCCGTGCCTGTAACAGCAGCCAAGGTTGTTCTCCCCATGCGTATCACCTTGTTCCGCCGAGAGCGCGTAGTACCGGAACGCTTCTTCAAATCTCTTCTCAGCATCAAGTAAAAACGCCACATTGTTTTGCGCGCCCGCGTCGCCCCGATCTGCAGCCGCGCGATACAGCCGCTCTGCCTTCTTCTTGTCCAGCTTGACGCCACATCCAGTCTCGTACAATTCCCCAAGGTGTCTCATCGCTTTCACGTCCCCAAGCTCCACGGCGCGCTTCCAAATCTTCGCGGCTTTCTTATCGGATTTCACAAGGCCGAAGTCACCAAAGCGGTACGCGTCTCCCAAAAACCTAATCGCTTCCGGCACGTCGTTCTCCACGTGGCGGCGAAGACGCGCGAGGTCCTCCGCATCGTCTTTTGCGGGCGGCGAACGACAGAGGGGACACGACTTGAGGCCGATCTTTTTATTGCACGATTGGCAGACCCTCCGGCAGCAACAGACGCGAAACACGCCCGGAGTATTCACGTCCCACTCCTCGAGGCAGATCGGGCACCGCGACCCGAACCGCGCCGACGCCGGCTCCCGCTCCGGGTTCGCCTCGCGTCGCAGACGAGCGGCCTCGTGTTCCGCCGCGATGCGTGCGCGGACCTCGTCGGCGTGCGACCGCGGCGCGGGACCGTAGAACACGTCCCGCGGCGGCGACGGCGGGGGTGGCGGCGCCTCGGCCCGCGCCGCCTCCGCGGCCTGGATCTTCTTACAGACCTTCCGGTGGCCCCGGTCGCGCCAGTCGATGCGTTGACAGGCCGTCGAACAGTAGGCCGTCGTCCCGCACCCTTGGCAAGCCTTCGCTTTGTCGGCGCCGCAGATCGTGCAGGTCTTGAGAGTGTCGAGTTTTTTTCCCTTCGCTCGGGCCATGCGATTCTCATACTCCAACTTCTTCTCCCGCCACGACATGACTCGGCGCGCGTCCTTGGGATTGGGGGGCTCGCGAGCTTGCCAGGTCCTCTGGAGAGGTGGCCTCAAAATCGCTCAAAATCTCGACCCGAGGGGTCCATCGCCGATGGCATCGGGAGAAGTCGCTTAAGCGCTTAGCCCGGCCCCGCGAGGCTCCCCTTGGCGGCGTGGGCGTCGAAGTCGTCGTCGCGCGCCAGGGCGCGCCGGGCCGCCGCCGGCGTGCGCCGCGGGGCCGCGGCCGCCCGGGGCGCGTCGGCGGCCGCCCGGGGCGGCCCGGCGGCCGCCGCGCTCCGCTCCGCGCGGCCTTGGCGCCGCGGTACTCGTCGATGCGGTCGCGCGCGGCCGCCCGCAGCCGCTCGCGCGAGCCGCTGAGGCCGCCGCCCGTCGGCTTCTTCGCCGCGGGCGCCTTGGGCTTGGCGAGCCCGCCGAAGGACCGCGACGACGCCGTCGACGACGAGACGACCATGGCCGACGACGACCGCACGCCGAGCGCCGACGGCCGCGCGCCGGCCCTCGGGGACGACGCCGCCGCGCCCTTGTAGCGCGCGCCGCCGCCGCCGCCCGCGGCGCAGTTGTCGCCCTTGCCCTCCGTCATGCCCGTGACGCCCTCGAGGTCGCAGAAGTGGCTGCTCGGCGCCTTGGACGCGCAGGTCGCCGAGTTGCGGTAGCCGAGCGTGTTGAGCAGGAGCCGCGCGGCCGCGTTCTGCGAGATCTGGCCCCAGATCTGGCACGCGAGGTCGCTGTGGTTGCCGAACATCTCGCGCGCGGGCCGCTTCTTCGCGCGCTTGATCGTCGGGTCCACGGAGAGCTCCGCGGCGCAGGAGAGGCGGTCGTCCGTGAGCTCGTCGTCGCCGACCTTGAGGAAGCCGAGCATCGACTTGAGCGTCGGCGCCGTCGCCGCGACCATGTCCTCGTAGCGCACGACGCGCACCTCGCGGTCGTTGCTCGCCAGGTCCGCGTGCATCATGGCGTAGCGGATCCACTTGCAGGCCATGCACTTGGCGAAGACCGCGAAGCTCGACGAGAAGAAGTCGCGCTCCGACGCGCGCGCCGCGTGGCCGCCGGAGACGCGGCGCTGGTACTCGGACCAGATGGCGTCGAAGGGGTGGCGCACGAGGAGCAGGATGCGCGCCGCCGTCGTCTGGGGCATGTACTTGGCCGGGTTGAGGTGGGCCTTGACCGCGATGACCGCGCCCGTGTCGACGCCCTCCGCGGGCATGAGCCGCATGAGGTCGACGTCGTCGTAGACGGAGCCCGTGTAGATGCCCGAGCCGTACTCGAGGAGCATGCGCGTCCACGTGTTGCCCGACCCCGGGAAGGACGCGAGCACCGCGGGCTCCGCGGTTTCGTCGCGGAAGCCCCTCGACGCGTACGCGCCGCAGCGCCGGAGCGTCGGCAGGCGCGCGGGGCAGCACTTCTTCGCGCGCTGCTCGTCGACCTCGAGCCACCAGGCGCGGATGATCGTCGACCGCACGGTGGGCAGGAGGCAGTTGATGTTGAAGCTGCAGGCCATGAGCCGCGGCCGGACGACCGCGGCCGCCGCGTCGGACGCGGTCTCCGCGAAGCGCTCGACGATGAGCGACGCGAGGGCCATCTTGCGCTCCTGGCTCACGGCCGTCGGCCACGTGGCCCGGCGCTGGTCGTCGCGCGCGCGCAGCGCCTGCTGCTCCGTGCGCTTCGGGCCCCGGAACGTCCGGAGCGGCGGCACGCCGCAGATGGGGCCGAGGGCGGCGTACTGCTGGGCGCCCACGGTCCAGGAGCCCATGGTGCCGCCGGACGTGCCCATGGTCCCGAAGACGAGCGCCCGGAGCTGGCCGGCCTTGGACACGTCGTTCGACGCGGGCGCGGCGCGCGGCAGCTTGGGCCCGTCGTCCCGGGGGGCCGGAGGAGCGCCGGGCGAAACGGGCGCCTCGCCCTTGCCCGTGACCTTGCCCCAGAACGCCGACGCGCCCCGGTCGGCCTTCCTGCGCCCCGCGGGCCGCGGCGCGGGCCGCGGCGCGGGCGCGGCCGCGCCGCCGCGGAGCTCCGCCTTCTTCTGCTCGTAGATCTCCTTGAACGACGGCCGCGCCTTGGGCGCCGCGTCGGCCGCCGCGGGGAGCGCGGACGCGGGGCGGTCCAGGGGCGCGTCGTCGTCCGTCGCGCGGCCGCCGGCCATCGCGGGCGACGCCCGGGCGACGGGCCGCGGCGTCGGCCGCGGCGTCGCCCGGGCGACGGGCCGCGGCGTCGGCCGCGGCGTCGCCTTGGCGACGGGCCGCGGCGTCAGCACCATGGCGGGGCGGGGCGTCGCGGGCCGCCGCGGCGCGGCCGCGGCGTCGTCGTCGTCGTAGGGGTCCGGCGCGGGCGCCGCGCGCGGCGGCGGCTTCGGCTTCGGCGGCGGCGGCTTCGGCGCCGCGGCCCCCTTGGGCGGGCCGGGGACGCCCTTGGCGGGCGCGTCGTCGTCGTAGAAGTCGTCGCCGGCGCCCGGCGCGGCCGGCGGCAGCGGCGCGACGGGCCGCGCGTCCGGCGGCGCGTCGTCCTCGCGCCAGTTCGCCGTCTTGGCGACGGGCTTCGGCGCGCCCTTGGCGAAGCCGCGGCCGTCGTCGTCGGCCTCGGAGAGCGCGTCGTCGTCCGCGGGCTCGAGGTCGAGGAGGAGCGCGCGGCCGGTCGCGCGCGCGGCCGCCGCGTGCGCGCGGGCCTTGCGGATCGCGGCGGACGTCGCGGCGTCGTCGTCGTCGTCGCCGGCGTCGGCGGCGGCGCCGAAGAAGCGGCGCAGGAACGGCGACGACTTGCGCGCCTTCTTCGGCGACGCCTTGGGCTTCGCGGTCGGCCGCGGCGGCGGCCCCCGGGGCCGCGGCGGCGGCTCGGGCCGCGCGGCCGCCGTCCGCGCGGGGGC